TATATATTTTTTCCTTAAATCTAGATTAGATTGCTGTTAAATACATATGTGTGAACTTGTTAATTATTTTGTAAAAAATGTATAATTATATAATATTGAGAAATTATTAAGCACTTATATACATACATATATACACACATGAGCACATATTCAAGCACTGTTTGTTAAAATGTAAGCTTGTACATTAGTGAAAATAAAATTGAGCAAATGACATATTCACAAACTTTATTTTCAAAGATATATCACATGTTTTGCTAGCACAGTAGCTCTATCACAATGAGTGACATACTGAAAATTAATTCTATTAATAATTTTTATATACCCACATAATTATAAGTGATAGTTACCTACTCAGGTCTTGTCATCTTGGCAAGGTCTACGTCGGGAAGGGTAGCTTGTAATATCCTGCAAAGCACGCTGGACGTTGTTAACAGTTGGTGCCTGAGGGAGCAGATGTCTGTCAACCCCAGCAAAACTGTGATAATCCCCTTCACCAGGAGGAGAAAATTGGACGATCTAACGCCACTTTCCCTCAATGATGAGGTCATTCCATTTGGAACGGAGGTGAAGGTTTTACACAAAGCCAGACTGTCCCTATGGACATGTCGAAGGATTTGTGGTAAAACTTGGGGTTTACATCCCAAACAAATCCATTGGATTTATGTAATGATTGTAAGACCAATGATCACTTATGGTGCAATTGCCTGGCGGCCGAAGGCTTTACAGAAAACGGTCCAGGCGAAGCTCTCTGGCTTACAAAGACAGAGACAGGATTGTCTGGCCATCAATGGTGTCATCATTACCACACCATCAGCGGCCATGGAGATCCTTCTAGATCAGAGGTTCTCAAACTTATTTTGTTTACCGCCCACTTCGAAAATTAATTATTTTCTAGCGCCCCCCAATTTTTTTAATTTACTACATCTTAAGAATCACAATCGCAGTCATTCTTTTAATAATTAAATCATGTGTGTCATTCTGCAAAATCACTGTGGAGGTTCTCCAAATGTTGGCAGTAAACAAGCAAGTCGTCGTTGTTGAAGGATACTGCTGACAAATTAGGGAAATTGCGAAACTCACGTCTGCCGATATTATTCTTGTATAAGAGCAATTTGGCTACAAAAGCAGCAATGACATTTTTTGTTTTAATCAAATTCAAGTCGTCACCTTGAAGTTGGAGATTGACATCATTAAATAATTTATACAGGTCTGTCAAGTACGCAATATCATTCTTCGAAGTGATGAGGTTGTCGTGCAATTCTTTGTCTTTGTTTTCCAAGAACTCTATTACAGAGTCAAATAGATTGTAATATCGAGTCAGACAGTTACTTCTTGGTAACCATCGCACTTCTGTGTGAAATAGCATCGTTAGCAACACAAAGCTGATTAAATAATATAATATGTCATTTAAAGAGTTGTTTCGGATTTTATTGACTGCTTTGATGATATATTGCGGTGATTGAGAGAGGCGCTCACTCATATTTTTCGCAACCAAATGTTGCCTATGAATGACGCAATGTACAGGGAGCACATCTGGAATTTTATTTTTTAAGTACGCTATGAAGCCTTTGTGACGTCCTGTTATAGCCGGAGCGCCATCCGTAGCAGCTGATATAATATTCTTCAGTGGAATTTCTTTCTCATCACAAAATTTTTCCAGTGTATTATATATGGTTTCTCGTTTTGTATCCGTCTCTAAATTTCTGGCAAATAGTAGTGCTTGATATATTTTCTCATTTTTAATAAACCTCACGTATGACAACAACAGTGCTTCATTGGTTGGTAAAGTGGTCTCATCTAACTGAATTGATAATTTCAAAGTCTTCAGATGATTGCACAATGACTCTTCAATGTTTTCAGCCATCTCATCAATTCGTTTTTGCACAGAACTATTGCTCAAAGGAATTTTTCGGATAATATCTGCCGCTGGTTTATGGAGCACAGTAGTTATTACTTCTTTTATTGCCGGTAAAATTAAATCCTCCCCAATAGTGTGAGGTTTACCTGTTTGAGCAATTAGCAAGGAAATATTGTAGGAAGCTCGGTGTCCTTCGTCGTCTTGCTTAGAAGCCGCTGAAAAAAGTTTTGACACAGTTGGCTGAGAAAGTCACACTTTCGTCTTTTTTATCTGAATGCCGAAGTAAAGAATCCAGTAATAAAAACTTGCTATTGACACTACTCACAGTATTCACGACCGCACGTACAGCATGTACCTAGCTAGTCGTTCAATAAATTCATTTGTTTTCGTAATATCGTCGAATGACATTACTGGCTGGATGGCGCGCGCGCTTTTATATGAGGCAGTGAGCGGGCCTAGTACTTTCGAAAATGGAGACTAGAAACTTCTCGCTTCGCATTGAAGCCTACCGCCACCTATTGTACAATTTGACAACTATCGGACAGGAAATAGTTACTATCCCCCTAGATGGCGTTACAAGAAACGCGCGTTAAGCGTAAAGGAGTGGTAAAGTTTGTGTTAAAAGCAAAAATCAATTTCTAAATTAGCCATCGCCCCCCTAAACCGCTTCAACACCCCCCAATCTTCTCTGTGCCCTTTACTGCCCCCCATAGACTTACAGCGCTCACAAGGGGGCGTTATCACCCACTTTGAGAAAGACTACCACATGGACTGCATATAGACCTCTGTACATTGCCAATTACACAAAT